CACCATCACCAACACCATCACCACCACCACCACTACTACCACCACCACCACCACCACCACCACCCTGAGCTCACCACCACCATCATCATCACCACCACCACCACCCTGAGCTCACCTGACTTTCTTTGCTGGTTCGATGTACTGCATGGTTTGTGCCTCAGCGATACTGTCAATAGCAGCCTCAGCTTTGGCTTTCTCAGAACTCTGCTTCCCCAACCTGTGGAGATAACAGACGGCATAAAGTTATCAGTGACTGGAAATGAATACACAAGTAATCAGAACACAGATTCCATTTTATCCACACCCCTGGGAAAACTTGGTTTACATTGGCATAAGACGCACGAGTTACTATATGGTGAAATCAGATGCTCGTCAATTTTTGGGCATATGGGGATATTGCGTCGGTGGCCTACTGGTTAGGCTCTCGGACTTGCAACCGTAAGGTCGTGGGTTCGAATCCCGTCAAGGACCCGACATTGCATCCTTGGGAAAGGCACTTTACACGAATTTTCCTCACTTCACCCAAGTGGGAATGGGTACCTGGCTATAGACAGCGAAAGATCTTGTCAGTTTGTTAGTGTTTGAGCGCTTAATCGGCTGCTTGCACTGTATGCTTCCTGGGAAGCTAAGAATGTTTCGGAGTGTTCTATGGTCTGATGGCGTAATAATATAGTGTAAAGCGCATAGAGCCTGCTGTTGAGCGGGGATATGCGCTATACAAATGCTATCTATTATTATTGCTGTCATCATAAAGCTTGTTCATTTATTTGTCTTGCTTTCGATGAAATAAATGTCCGTCTATCTTGAAGACATGTCAAAATATTTGCGATTGAAGGAGGTGGGGGTTGCCTGGAGTCAGAGATAAATTTAGCAAGAAAATAATCACCACAGTCTGGAGAATTGCAAGGCTTGACTCTCCTCGGAAATTAGGAAATTGCAAATTGACATTTTTTGTGCGTTTGATCGACGGTTTGAGAACTTTAACACACAATATGTTCAAAATACAGTGTAGTTATAAAAAAGCATGCAGTTTTGTTCTGTCTAGAATTAACATGGAAATCATCTACCAAGTTCAATTCCTTCCATGAACCATTCAGTAAAGGGTAGACCAATCCATGCCTCCCCCCCCCCCCCCAAAAAAACCCCCAAAAATAACCCCAAAGAACAAAAAAATAACCTGCCGTAAATACACCACACACAATAAAGTTTTCTGGCATCAGCCTACTCTTCAATCAGAAATGAGAAAAAAGGTAAAGCACTAGAAAATTATGAAATCATTGGCTAGCTGTTTCAATGTACTGAGCCGAAAATTTTGAAAAAAAATTTCATTGCAGTTTCTTAACCGTAACCAATTAGGTTGTTAAAATTCAAATTCTAAATGCTGAAAAAAAGCGAGACTAAATACATAAGGTGTATTCAAAGAATGAAACAGCTTTTTTCTCTCTCCTGTAAAATGTTGCTCTCTGGGTTCAGTACATATTCCCAACATGGCCGCGATATGTGTCACAACCAGGTGGAATCAGGCGCTCATCAACTTTTGGGCATAAGGAGTTATAGGTACCATCTTAACACTTGCTCATCCGTCTTGCTCTTGATTTGTAAAAAATATCCATCTATCTTGAACAGAAGCCGAGATTTTCGCTATTGAAGGAGGTGGGGGTGGTTTGGTGTCAAAGATAAGATAAGTGAGAGAAAACAGCGACCAAAGTTTGCTGCAGTCAGAAGTGGGAGTGCCCTTGGAAAGCATACATTTTTTTTTTCTGCTGTTGCAGATCAATGTTTTGCAATAACATCCACACAGAAATTTGTTTTAAATAGACACCAAAATATGTTGAGCTGAGAAAGAAAAAAAATTATAATGACCAAACAGGCGGAAAAATATCAGCTTCTTCAATTTCATTATTTTGACGAGAGCCTGATTTCACCACAATGACACACATTGTATTTGTTCACTCAAAATCCGTTTCTTTACTCACTGAAAATAATTTTCTTTATTCCCTGAAAAATCATTCTCTTTATTTGCCGACTGCGATCAACTGGGAGAAACAGAAAAGCTCACCTCGTGGCCCTCTCGGTATCCGCATGAACTTTCCTGTTGGGGTCGAGAGGAATCTCGTCACAAATGGAACTGGCATCCTCCGGCCTCTGCTGCTTGGGAATCGTTCTGGGCTTCGGAGTCTCCCCGTCTTCAAAGGATGCCGATGACCTCTTAGACGGCTCGGGAGATTTACGACCCACAATCCCCGGGGACTTACGTCCCTCTGTCGACCTGCGAACTTCAGCGGATTTCCCTGGTTGTGTTGAAAAACATTGAACAAAACATTAGAAAAAAGGAGAAAAGTAATCAGATAGATATGGCCACTAATCAATTGAAAAAACTAATCAACAAAATCAACAAGTATCACATATAAAGACTAATTGAAGCTATATATTTTTGTGTAGAAAATTAAAGTAAATCAAAACAGACAGAAATATCATCCAAACTTTCCATAAGGCAACATTTTCAGAATGTCATGTTATGGCAGCAACATGCCTACACAACAGCAACGACGTCTGGATAGAGAAAGCAGCAAAAGTTATAAATAGTTGACACTTCTCTTTCACTGAGCTGTAGGACATCAACATTGCCAAAACTGGAAAAGAAGACCATCACCGATACCAAACACATATCCATTCATTCAGTGCCAGATCTGAGACAGACATCGGCGATCATGGTTCTCCATTCATTCAGTGCCAGATCAGAGACAGACATCGGCGATCATGGTTCTCCATTCATTCCTTTGCTCGGATGCTCTTAAAAAAGCTACGTTTCGCTGATCTTTCCCTGTTACCCATTTGTTTAGGTTCCCTAAGTAGGTTGCTCTGGGCCTACCCTGCCTCATTTGTCTTCCATTTTGATAGTGAGAGCTAGATGTTCAAGACCCTTATGTCTATTCAGGTGTCCCAAGAATTGCATTTGTCATTTCCTGATCGTTTTTAACAGTGAGTGTCCCACGTGGGCTTCATCAAGCACTGCCTCATTTGATTTCTTTTCCTTCCATGATATTCATAGCAGCCTCCAAAGAAACCACATTTCTGTTGCTTCTATTTTATTTTCGCTGTCTTGGGTCAGTGTCCAGCAAACACACATTAACTTCAGAATATCAGACATCAATGAGAAGTAAATCTGTGAGGCATCGTGGTAAAATCATCAGGTGCTCGTCAAAATATGGAAATCAAAGAAACCGACATTTTTCCACCGGTTTGGGAATGTTTTTTTCAAATTTTTTTTAATGGTTCAACAGATCGCTTATGTCTTTGTAGTGGATAGTGGGATTGCTCAAAATCTAAAGTGTGTTTTCCAGCATTAGCAGTTTCAGTCTGTGTATCAAGGGATCAGAAATCTTTTAGTGCAAAAAAAATGTTAGCCAAAAATCAAGTTAACCAGGAGCCATCAAGGCACCCATATAATCTTATTTTGTCTTCACTGAAAACTTTTATGCTCCCATAAAGACAATTTGGATCATTTAGGATATGGGCTTCTGAGCCTGCCTAACACGGCCAATCTGGGCTGAAAGGGATACAAATATTCCAGTATAAAGACCTGGAAACTAGATGAAAATTCTCCCCACTCAAGAAACCCGGGTCTCCTGCACGTGACGGCAAAGCGCCCAACCGCTACACTACAGACCTGGGTCAACAGTGAAATTGCTGAGAAATTACCACAACAGGGAGTAAGTTAAGTAAGTAAGTACGTTAATTCAGTGTTCAAGGCCATTGGCCCACATCACATCATCATTCAGTGCCAGATCTGCGACAGACATCGGCGATCATGGTTCTCCATTCATCCCTTTGCTCCGATGCTCTCAGAAAAGCTACGTTTCCCTGATCTTTTCCTGTTACCCATTTGTTTAGGTTCCCTAAGTATGCTGTTCTGGGCCTACCCCAGCCTCGTTTGCCCTCAATTTTGCCAGTGAGAGTTAGATGTTCAAGACCCTTATGTCTATTCAGGTGTCCCAAAAACTGCATTTGACGTTTCCTGATTGTTTTTAACATTGAGCGTCCCACGTGGGCTTCATCAAGCACTACCTCATTTGATTTATTTTCCTTCCACGATACTCTTAGTCTTAGCAGTCTCCTAAGAAACTACATCATATAAAACACTTATTTCTTAAATAGTTTCCATAATGAAAAAGTACAGGTTGTGAACATAATTATACCTTTTATCATGAGTGAAACATTGCATATTTCTGTCACTGAGCCGAGTCAGGCTGGGAGGAATTAACAAAAATAGGACAAAATATGGATGATAGAAAATAAAGTAAAATTATCTTCAATTTCATGAGAGTTACACCTCTCACATAAGGGTGAATTTATTAGTTTTTAGTTTTAGTTTTAGTACAGGTTTTACGGCGCTCGCAACTGCATAAGGTCATATGAGAGCCAAGGGATGGATGTCAACAGAGAAGTCCTTACAGGGAATCAGGCTTACTCTGCTCACCTCTCTAGCTTCAACAGCACAAAGTCTGCTTCGACTATCAAGGCACCCCGGAAATAGCGGGTCACAAGAGTGTGACAAACATACAAAAGAAGTAGATGAAAAATGATGATAGTAAGGATTAGGAAAGAAAAAGCAGCAGTTCTCTGTTGTAGATCAGGCACAGTTATGAGCATGACATTGATGAATCAGCCCATTTACAATTCTACTGTGTACAAGAACAGGGTCAATATCCCCCCTTTGGGAATGGCCTAAAGACACTTCAGTCAGTAGCACCGCCCCGGGGGCTGTGAATTTATTAATTTCCACCGATAGAGATTGTTATTTAATGGAAGGCTATGAGTTTTTAACAAGGCAATGACTTTTTTGTCCCAATACTGTGGGAGGTTGATGATATACTCAGCTGTATCACAAGAGGGAGGTAGATTATTTTTTGAGAGCTGCTAATACAATGAGTTACTTCTTGCAATCTATGAATTGAGATATTGGCCGAAAAGCGACGAAAGTAGATATTCAACTGACGCCATTTCATTCAAGTTTAACATGTCTGTTATCATTTAAAAGTTATAGATTCTCCAACTCAACCTATAAATTTGCCGTATCTATGCCCACAGTACTTGAGTCCCAGAAGTAACTCGACATCCTGCACGCACACCTCACATTTCCCACCACTCTCTGTCATTAAGCTTTTCTTACCCAAAAGTTTCTTGTTGGCAGCGAAGATATCGTCCAAGTCGTCATCTGCGGTATCGCGGGACCGATTTTTCCGGGCCTGAGGCTTTGGTTTGGCTTGGCTTGTGTCTTCAGTGAGGAAGTCTAGAAGAGAAGAGCCTTTCATAGCCGCTGCCTTCTCCTGAAGGATTTCTTTGTCCGTCTCTTCCGCCGTCTTCTGTCTTTGGCCGGTGGGAGTCTTCCGGTCAAAACTGGTCGGCGTCTTACGGTCCAAACTTGAAGGCATTTTACGGTCGAAACTGGTAGGAGTTTTTCGATCCACACCAGTAGGTGTTTTGCGATCGGTGGGAGTTTTGCGGCCATCTTTAGAGAAGCGGCCGGAGCCCTGTTTACTTGGCGACGCTCTGCCCAATGCCTCCAGTTCCTTTTTCTTTGAATCAGGGCTTGGGCTACGGCGCAGGGCATGTCTCCCCCCATACAACTTCTCCTCCTTCCCCTGTTTGTCTTTGTCGATGTACTCATCCACCTCTTGGGCTGCGGCAGCGCGACCTCTGCCCCCAAACAAATCAAAAGAAGGACTCGCTCTCCTCAGAGCTCCGTCTTTGCTGGTCTGGGCTGTGGGTGAAGTCCTGCGCGGGTCTACCAGGGGCGGCGTTTTTCTCTCCGACACTCGAGACCGCGCCTGTGGCTTGGGCCTGTCCTCAAGGGCAAGCGCTCTGTGACACAAGAGGTTTGTTTGGTTTTGTTTTAGTAAGAGTCTTACGGCAATAGCTACAAAACTAGATACCATGGGTGTCGAAGTTTAGAAGTGTTATGAGAGAGAGTAATAAGCACAAAAAAGGAGGACTAGGATAAGGAAGACAGTGACATTTTTTATTGCAAAGAAGGAGCAAACAACACCAAAGCACCCACAAACCACCCACAGACATGAGAGAAAGCACCCACAAACCACTCACAGACATGAGAGAAAGCACCCACAAACCACTCACAGACATGAGAGAAAGCACCCACAAACCACCCACAGACATGAGAGAAAGCACCCACAAACCACCCACAGACATGAGAGAAGGAAATGGGGAAATGATATGGAGCAAATGGAATAAACAAGAACAGATGACGATGGCTAGTACATACACTGAGGAAGCCAGCCCACAATGTGATGCTGTGACATGACACAGTGACACAGTTACAAAGTTACAATGTGACACTGTGACAATGTGACACTATGACAATGTGACACTGTGACAATGTAAAACTGTGACAATGTGACACTGATAATGTGACACTGTGACAATGTGACACTGACAATGTAAAACTGTGACAATGTGACACTGTGACAATGTGACACTGTGACACTGACAATGTAAAACTGTGACAATGTGACACTGTGACAATGTGACACTGTGACACTGTGACATTGACAATGTAAAACAATGACAATGTGACACTGATAATGTGACACTGTGACAATGTGACATGACAATGTGATGAGACACCGTGACACTGTGACATGTCACTATGACAATATGACACTATGACAATGTGACAATATGACAACGTGACAATGTGAAACTATGACAATATGACAATGTGACACTATGACAATGTGATGTGACACTGTGACATGACAATGTGACAATGTGAAAAGACAATATGACATGACAATGTGACAGCGTGACAATATGACAATGTGACAATGTGACAATGTGACAATATGACAATGTGACAATATGACAATGTGACAATGTTACATGACAATATGACGTGACAATGTGACATGATAATACGACAACATGACAATGCGACAATGTGACAATGTGAAAAGACACTGTGACAATGTGACAAGACACTGTGACAATGTGACAATATGACAACGTGACACTGTAACAACGTGACACTGTGACAACGTAACACTGTGACAACGTGACACTGTGACAACGTAACACTGTGACAACGTAACACTGTGACAACGTAACACTGTGACAATGTGACTAGACAAAGCCCTAGATGCAATCCCCAAAGGAGGAGGAAGAGAGGAAGGCCGAGATCCGCTTGAGAACGAGATCTAGAGTCAG